GGAGCACAGATGCAGCTTCAAGTGTCCTTCCTCTCTTCTCTTCAGAAGAGCAGATCTAAAGAGATTTAAGGGCTGCAGTAGATGTACAAAACCAGAGGGCATACAGGACCCAGACTTGTTTTGGCCACTGAGGGATCCTGATGAAAGCAAGAGGGAGAAAAGAAAGGCGTTTTGTTGACTGAACAGCTGAACTTCAGTTGAGTACATGCAGTAGTAAATTGTCACAATACAATAAACTGTGCTTTTCTGACAGTCAGACTCACAGTATCTTCGTGAGGAACTACTGTAGGAAATCTAAGTACAAGACAATATAACAGCCACACAATTTTAGAAAAGTATGGATAACCTTGTGAAGAGGATGACAGTTGCATGAGCAATACACTTTTGGCAAAAGAAACAGAAATGTGGTTGCAGGACATTTTGTTGGTGAGTTGCAAACTGTCAGCACAAGGTAGAGTGCAGAAAAGCTTGGCTTCCCCAACTTAAGAACTAATGTTCCATGTGGGAGTAGTTGTCAGAGCCTTAAGTTAAGCACCTAGAACATGCCAGAGAAGCTATTCTGATTTTGATGTACCCTCCGGGTTTAGCAAGGAATTAGCATTTCCCATTGACTAGTTGAGAGCAGGGCCACAACCTGAAATTACACTCTTCAGTGGAGTTTGAGAAGCAAGAGCTTAAGACTTCAGGAATACCTCTGCACTGAGCTAGAAGAATGGCTTTGGACTGTGGATGCTGGAAGTAAGCCCTTTTTGCAAAAAAGTGAATACTAATCCTATATACCTACCTGTAAAAAATGCAAATGATCCCATCTTCTCTATGAAGCTCTAAAGGCTAGAAAGCTAACCCAGGAAGGAGATCTCACTTTACCCTCATTCAGAATAAAACATGCAATTTCACCAGAATGTGTAATACTTACCAGTAATTAAGGCAGTTTTGGAGAAGGAGGAAAAAACATCTTCCATATCGCCTTTTAAAGCTGCACAGTAAGTGATTTAAGATTCTCTGGGACAAGGAAACATGATGTTGTAGTTCGATGGCTACGATACTTACCTGAAAGAGTTTTGGGCTGTCTTTGTATTTTATTGGCCAGCTGTAATGCCACCATCTCTTAAAAGAAAGCTGCATTTAACATCTATAGAGCCTATAGAGGGTGGAAGGAAGAACAGGTAACCTGGAAAGAATACAGAGATATTGGTATGGTAGATGCTGCAAGAATGCACTTATTAGACAAAGCTGAAGTGAAAGGATAAGTATATCTATATGATTATAGATATACTGTATATTTTTTACATATATATATATATAAAATGTATCTATGATTCAGGAACTGAAGCCACTTTGGAACAGGCAGAGAACTGCAAGTATTAAACCATCTTTTTTAATCAAATAGGGAGGGGAAAAAAGTTAATTAGGTGACTCCAGTGAGAAGACCCAATTCTCCTCTCAATAAAAGCAAATAAGTTTGTTATTGACAGTAACAGAGGCAGAGATGGCTCTAAAGTTTGTTGACAAATTGTAAACATGGAAAATATTGGCACACAAGTGCCCTGTTACATTTCAAGTAGATCTGCAAAGAATAAAACTCTGAGAGGTATATCTGAAACTACTTGGGCACATTGTCAGCTAAGAAAGAGTAGAAAGCCCCTTCTACTCAATTAGTCATACTGAAATCAGGATCAGAGTAAAGAGGTTTTGAACTCCAAGGAAAACAATGGATTAGAAGCAGCTATTGATGTCTTTATAACAGCCTGAGATGGAAGGAACTATTTATGTGGTGGTAGAGCGAAAACATAACCCTTCTGAAATACATTCTCTTTCTCTCACTGCAAAAAGATGATAGTAGAAAAAAAAAAAAAGTGTGCATATAAAAAAGGTGCAACATATGTTTATTTAAAATAAGTATTCATACAGAAGGACATTGATAACACATGGAGAATTCAGTCAGATTCTTGCTCCAAGTTACCTTTCCCTCACAAAACGTAATACAAGCTGAAGATTAGACTTGCTATTTGGCAACATAAACATTGCAAAAAGAGTATGTATTTCCATTAGGAGGTACTTTGTTACAACATATTCTTGGCTCGCCTCTAGTTACATGACACCCGTAGTTAAAATATGACTATGAAGTTGGAGACTACAATATTCACAGAAGTTGGACCATGTTCAAATATACTATTTTTGTAATAAAACCAAACCAAGCCTACCCACACGTAACAGGTGAACCATCTTTAGATTAACTGCTTAAGGTCTCAACTGTAAAAGCTTACATTTTTACTTTATTTTGAATCATAAAATTCAGTCTATGACATGAGATAACGGACCACAAAGATTAAGCCATCTGCTTTTTTTTCTCTGAAGTAATAGTTCAAAAAGGTAGATGTTGAGATAGCTTTACACTGAGATCCAAGAGTTTCAGTGTCTAAATTACTACTAAAAACTTTTTAAATGGTTCAAAAGATGTTGTGGATTAACCCCAGCCAAGCACCCACACAGCTGCTTGCTCACCACTCTTGCCCCTCTGTCCCCAGCATGCCGGGGGGAAGAGCAGCAAAAGCAAGAAAACTCACGGGTTGAGATAAAGACAGTTTAATAAGTGAAGGAAAGAGGGGGAAAAAAACCCCAAACCACCAAGCGATGCAAAGGCAATCACCCACTACCTCCCACAGGCAGACCATTGCCCCGCCAGACTGCAAACAGCAGCCACCTTGGAAGCCAGCCTCTACCTTGCTACCTTCTTCCTCTGCCCTGATTTTATTGCTGAGGGTGACAATATATGATATGGAATAGCCCTTTGGCCAGTTCAGGTTGTCTGCCCTAGCCAACCTCCTGCCCACCCCCAGCCTACTTGCTGTGGGGGCAGAGCAGCAAATAGAGGAAAGCCCTGACCCCGTGCAAAGACTATCAGCAACAGCCAAAACATTAGTGTGTTATCAACACACTTTTAGTCACAAATCTGAAGCACAGCTTTCTTCATAGCAGCCCATATGGTACTAAATCCATCTCAGCCAGACCCAGTACAAAAAAAAGAAACCCCAAGAATTCAGCAATTAATCTCCATGAGATATATCACATGCAGATTACTATTTGGAAGCCCAAAATCAAAAGCAAGTCATCTACTGTAAAATGCTTTTGGGAGTGTGCCACATTTATCAAACCTGAAAGCAGCCCACTACAGTCACTGTTATTCCTAACGTTTGCAGTAGTCTCTTTGACCCGTGTATTTATAAAACAAGTAAGCCTAAGGCCTTACTCAAACATACAACTTTGTATGCTTGTGGGACTTGTGTCCATGTTATTAAAACTGACCTGTTTTTCTCCTACAGTTTGGATATTGGTATTTACTGTTTATTCCCATCAGGTTGTATGCAGTATTGTACAGTAGATATGCATAAACAGAATCATAAACAAAAAGCTAACAAGGTGCTCAGAAAGGCAGCTCAATTACTTTGCCACTGCAAATGAGAACTCATTATTAGTTTATGACGCTTGCTTACTCTAGTTCCAGCAGAAAAAAGAAATATTAAATATGTAATGAAACTGCAATTCCCATGCATCTCTTCTCCTGCCCATAAGTAAATATCCTGGGAATGGAGAGCAGAAGTGATGGTCGGTGCAAGCCAGCAGTGTCTCTTCACAGACCTCGAGAGCTCCTTGGTGTTTGCAGGAACAACTATTCATTAAACCCAAAATATCCCAAACAACGCTACTCCCAAAGACAGGCATTTTTATTATTCTACCACGAAACTTACTTCTGTTGAGGGTAAATGTGTCGAGCACCACAGATATTTAACCCACTGAAAGCCTTCAGGAGTTGAGCGCATAAATAGTGCATAGCTTTCTGGCAATTTCAGATGTTTAAAGGCAAATGCAGTCCCTCATTATCTCTTCAGGGAACTACTCATCTTCAGAAAGGAATACAGGAGAGCCAGTAAGGTCTCAATAAATAAAATAAAAATGGCCACTGCAGACTAAGACTGCCCACAAGAATTAATCTGTAGCACTGAGAGAAGTATTTAGTGATTCAGTTTTACACATAAAGGCCACTCCTGCAGAGCAGTCATGCTCTGCCAGTGCAGGTCAGTACTTGCAGCTCTGCGTCGGTGGAGCAGGAGCTGCTTTGGGGCTTCATTCCAGGGCAAAGTATCCTCCTAGGAACACAGATGCTTCTCTCCACACAACAAGAGCCTTCTAGAAAAGACTGGGCTCACTTAGAGTCAGTTTTAAACAGGAACTAAGCAAGATTATCTGCCCAGGGTTTTAAAAGTGGCATTGTTCACTGAAGAGATCTGGAATTTGAGAGGCTAAGGCACAATGAGAGCGAGTGATCAAGGCTACAGTTTTCCATGTCCAACTTAACACAAACCAAGAAGGCTCCACTTCCAAGCCAGGGGAAGCCACTTTAAGGCATATAGGGAGCACAGTGATAACAGTAGCTGTCAAATCTAAACATGACTAGAGATTTCTTTCTCTTTCTAATACATGCAGGTTACTCAAATTTGGGTTCTGGGACACTGGTGAACTAAGAAACATAGTTTTGTTTGAGGTATTAGAACTTCTACAGCTTGTGCACAGCTCTATCACTTACCACACCTTCGGTGTGCCAGAACCACCTGAATTGCTCAGGCTCTGCCCTGGGTAGACAGTTATTGGGCAGGCTTCACTCCCTTGAAAATGAACAGCAGCAAAACCAGCAGCCCTAGCTCCCCTTTCCTCTCTCCCGCCTTCCCTGCAGCAGGTCAGGCTAGCAGCAAACAGGTATATTCTGTATTCCACAGTGCTACACAGCAAGCAAGCTCACTTCTAAATATATCCAAATACAAGTTTCTAAACTGCAAAATAAATACAGTTCTTACTGTAAGTTATGCAGCAAAATGTACATTACACCTAACATTTCATGGTAAATGTAGTGTTATTTCACTTTTTTCCTTGTCCTCAGTGTAGCAGATACTAGAGGCCCATTTGAACAAAATTAAGACTTCCACAGAAAGTAACAAATAAGTTTACTTTCTGGGTTTCTTACTCCCTGTCATAACAAAATAGTGATCATCTTGTCTGCTTTTCATAAGAGGAGCTTTTGATACACCAGGCATTCCCTTGTTACATGCTGTTGCTGATTTTCCCTTAGGGAGAGGCTTCTTGTCTGCTGGGGCCAAGCTTTTATTTGCTTGCAAGTTTTTGGTTGAAGGCTGACCTTTTGTGGAAGGCTGCACTGGCTTTGTGGTCACTGCCACTTTGGCTGAAGTTTGAGGAAGCCGTACAACAGATAAGGGAGTGCGTTCAGGGGGTCTGGATGAAGTAGAACCAACCTGAGGAGATTTACTGACATTTGGCTGCTTACTGACAGCTGATGATGCAGTTTTACTTGTAGATACCAGCGTAGGTGGTGACTTTGATGCTTTGCTAACTGCAAGGGAAGGCACAGAAGCTGAATGTTTTAGGACTGAAGCACTTTTCAGGTTCCCAGCCAGGCCAGAAGCTGTTTGTGGAGCTTTTTGATGATGCTGAGACCCAGCTCCTGAGGTCTGAATAGCATTTTCAGAAGGAGGTTTTGCAAGGAGCTGCTGAGAATGTGCAAACTTGGCAACAGTACGCAGATTTGTAACAGGTGGCCGAACAGCCCTTGGAGCAACCGAATTCACTTTGGTTTTAGTGACTGATACAGGTTTGCATTTAGCAGCAACACGCTTCTGTTTTGAAGCCATCGTTTCAGCTGTCCCAGGCAAGTGAGACGGCTGATTTTTTGAGGATGAGAGGGCAGGGTGCAGCATTGGTGCTGGGGACCCCTGAGCCAGGGCAAATTTCACTTTGGGAGCATCAGGAGACCGAATACGTTTGCGCAGTGTTTCAGAGTGAACAAGAGCTTTTCTCGTTCCTGCAGATGAAGAGCTTTTGCTTACAGGCTGCAAAGGAGCAGAAGCTGATGAGTTTTGTGCAGGGGACTCCAGTTTCTTTGAGGTGCCAGCTAATGGTTTGAAAGGAAGCTGCATGCCTGTCACTGAACACCCTTGTAATTTGGACCTGACAGACAATGGCTTGGCTGTGGAGGATGGGTGCGCTGGCACTTTTGGTGATGCCAGGGCAGAGGACTGAGGACATGTAGACACAACCTTCTTGGCACTGGCCCCATGGACAGCCTTTAGAGCTGGGGGTTTTGATGGCTGCTTTTGAAACATATTGACAGCTGACATGGGATTCATGGCAGGAGGCTCCTGAATTCTAGCTGATGAGTTGGGGACACTGTCACTGGTGACCCCTTTCTGAAACGCCAGGATTTTTTGTTCCAGAGTTGCAAACTGAAGCACTCGGCACGGATCATATTTAAGCAGGAAACCTTGAAGAGTGTCCCAGCCTCCACCAACACGTACCATCACATGCTTGCCATGTAGCATCTGAGAATGGAGGAAGATGGGGTGGGAGCAGGAGAACAAGAGAAATTTCTATCTTGTTTTATGCAGCACTTCATCTTACATTAAGAACTAACAAAATAGACTAAAAATAGGTCCTCCTTTCTTACAGAGAAATATTTTTAAAAGAAATTATGTGATAAATGAGGTTTATGCTTCCCAATTCTTTTACTAGGTAGTCTCTCCTGTAGAGATAGTCATTATGTGTTGGGAAATAATGAAAACATATGTACTGAAGAGATTTTAACCATTCTATCAGCAGCTTTATTTAGTATACAGTTTTGGATACAGGTTTTGTTCAAATTTGGGATGTCCTCGTAACATTTTAATCCCAGAAACTCTTATGCCTGCTGAAGACAGTGCTCAACTATCCTACCAATTATAAACCCCAAGCATGGAGATTTTGAAAAAGCAACATTCTCAGAATACTCTATTGCATTATCCTTATTTATATTGCAAGTTCTACTGAAATTTTAGAAACACCACAGAAAAACATTAACTTGCTTAGTTTAATGTGGTTGTAAAAATCAATGGTTGTAATATCTAATTAGCTACAACTACTTTGAATAGATCATTGGATGATGTGGAGTCCCAATCTAAAGCATTCCAGAATTCTATAACAATACCATAAAAATGAGGTATTCCACTTAGAAGTATTTCTTTCCCCAATTTTGAATACAAATTGGAATTCTGAAAAACTACTTACTCGTATGAAAAGTATTTTATCTCCCAGTCTATAACGTCCCTCTGATAAGTACTCAATTGAAAATCGATGGGAGCAACTGCAGGGAGGGTCTTCTGCTATATGTTTAACCTAGTTATTAAAATTGAAAGCATTCATTAGTATTTTGACAGAAGCATGCATTTAACAGTTTATTGAGGTATTTGATAGAAGAAAAGATACCAATATCTTCATCTCATAATCTAAGAAAATGCTAGAATTCTATTCCCTCACAAGAAAATCTCAGCTAAACAAAGCTTCAAAATGTAGACTATTATAAAGAACAAACTGTAGGTATAGACCAATATTTTGAGTTACTAAAATCCAATTTTCATCATTTCTTCATTTTTAAGATATTTTTACTTTCCTTTTTGAAGATTAACACTCTGCATAGCAGCGTCAAATTACAACCACAAGCTTGCAAAGACACCGTTATGGTCTCTAGAAACTGAAACAAGTGCCTGGTTCTCCTGTGACTGGATCCATTGCTACACCTGACCCAGAGCTACTTCAGTATTCTCCTTAACTTTTTGTAATGCTTTTATAAATTAATCTTCTATTTGACACTCAAGAAGAAAACCACTGAAAAAGGAGATACTAAGTTCCCAAGTAAGTCCAGGGTTAGAAAAGATGTACCTGTTACGGCCACTTAGAAACAACAAATTGGAAGGTCAAGACTATTGCAAAGCAGGAAAAATAATGAGTTTTCAGAGAGAGCAAGGATCTGGTGGCTGACATTCCCAAGTAAGCAGAAGTTTTACATTACAACACAGAGGAGCTTTAAAATAAGCAAATTTTAAAGTCTCAACATGCATTTTTAAGCAAAATAGGAAAGTTGTGCATCATTCCTTTTGGACCAAGTCACAGGATGTACAAAGAATTTCCTTTTCTGCATACATATTCATTTCCAGTTTGTATAGACAGAGGTTTTATTTAAAATCTTTTTCAAAAGCATCTAATCAAAGCCTGCTTTAACATTTGATGAAGTTTGATGAAAACATCAAATTGAAGAGAAATACACATTACAGTCATAGAAACCACATTGACACACCATAAAAACTGAAAGAAAATATTTCTTATATTAAAAGAAGCAATAAAGGGGGTGAGAGGAGGGACTCAAGGCCAGTTACATGCACCGAGACATTAACTCCAGAGCATACATGACAGCATTTTGCTTACATTTAAAAAAAAAATGAGCTACTCAAAAGAGGTGCATAATTCTCTGTTTTCTACTTAAGGAGGCTCACAAATATTAGTTGAAAAACAGCCTATGCTTACTGAGACAGATCATACAAGGACTTAGGAGTTTGATTAAAAGCCCCTATCACAGTAAGTAGTACTTACTGCCTCGTGTAGCTCCCCATGGTGACAACATGACTTTGCTGTGCTAATAGGTGATGGTGGCCCAGAGGTCATCAGCAGTGTTTCTTCTAGTTCAATCTCCTTCTCCAGTTTTACTAGTACAGGAGGTTCAACTCCATACCTCAACGTAAATACAAAAGTAGAGAGTTTAATTGCTAACTTACTAAAGAAAACAAAAATAAATTGATGGTAAGAGCCAAGATCCGGGACATTGCTGTGAGGGTGCCACAATTTGACAAAGAAACAGATCAACTCTGTTGATCTTTCATGCAGGCACCAATGATGTTACAAGAGACAACATGGGCAGAATCAAGAAAGATTATAAAACCCTGGGTAGGCAAGTGAAAAACATCGGTGCCCAAGTTACTTCCTCCTCCACTCTGCCTGTTGGAGGAAGATGGGAAGCCAGAAATAAACACATAATGCACATAAACTCCTGGGTACGTGACTGGTGTCAACGTGAGGGTTTTGGTTTTTATGATAATGAGACTTCTTATATAGATTATAATCTATTAGTGAGGGATGGGATCCTCCTGTCTAGAAGAGGCAGAGCAATCTTTGGCAGCAAGCTGGCTGACCTAGTAAGGCAGGCTTTAAAATGAATGGCTTGGGGGGTGGGGTCCAAAGTAGCAATGCTCATGCCATTGCAGCAGACTGGGGAATGGGGCAGGCCAACTGTCAGAAAAACAAGTCTTCCTTAGTTGCCTCCTATGACTGGAGCCAGGAAGTCAGACACCTCAAGGGTGTGCAGAACTATAGGATGTCCTCTCGCATACCCCTGGGGATACCTGGATGCTCCACTCCCTTCTCCTCTCTTAAGTGTTTGTATATAAATGCACACAGCATGGGGAATAAACAGGAAGAACTACCTGTGTGCGGTCACAGTGCGACAACCTCATTGCGATTATGGAGATATGGTGGGACAGCTCGTATGACTGGAACACTGTCATGGATGGGTATG